TTACTTATTTTTATCACATCAAAGTCAATTTATACCCACACTCTCTGTATATGTATACCCCTTCTCAATGTTGTAATAAAGATACAGTTCTTAAGAGTTGCAAGTATCATCTTCCCATATAGGGATGTAAACAATTTACTCTTACTGAATAACATGGTTTTTTTTCTTTCCTTTTTACCTTTTTATGCTCCTCTTGAATCTTGCATTTGAAGATCAAATTTTCTGTTGAGTTCTGGTCTTTTAATTAGGAAGGTTTGGTAGTCCCCTCTTTCATTGAATGTTCATCTCCCCCTTTGAAAGATTATGCTCAGTTTTGCTGGATAGTTGATCTTTGGTTGTAATCCAAGCTCCTTTGACTTCCAGAATATCATATTCCAAACCCCTGATCCTTTAAGGTAGACATTGCTAAGTCCTGTGTAATCCTGACTGTGGTTCTGTGATATTTAAATTGTTTCTTTCTCTCTGCTTGCAGTATTTTCTCCTTTGCCTGATAATTCTGGATTTGGCTACAATGTTCCTTAGTGTTTTTTTTTTAATTTTACATTCTCTTTCAGGAGGTGATCAGTGAATTCTTTCAATGAATATTTTACTCTCTGGTTCTAGGACCTCAGGAAAGTTTTCCTTGATAATTTCTTGAAAGATGCTGTCCAGGCTCTTTTTTTGATCATGCCTTTCAGGTAGACTGATAATTTTTAAATTATCTCTTCTGGATCTATTTTCCACATCAGTTAAATTTTTCCAATGAGATATTTTATATTTTTTTCTATTTTTTCATTCTTTTGATTTTGTTTGACTGATTCTTGAGGTCTCATAGAGAAAGCTTCCACTTTCCAAATTCTAATTGTTAAGGAAGTATTTTCTTCAGTTAGCTTTTGTCCTTCCTTTTCCATTTGGCTAATTCTACTTTTTAAGGAGTTGTCTTCAGTCAATTTTTGTCCTTCCTTTTCTGAGCTGTTGACTCTCTCTTGCATATCTCTCATTTCTTTTCCCAATTTTTCTTCTACCTCTCTTATTTGACTTTTAAAATCCTTCTTGAAATCTTCCAAGAAGGCTTTTTTTTTGTCCTGGATATCAATTCATATTCCCCTTTGAGGTTTCAGATCTAGATATGTTGACAATATTATCCTCTTCTGACTTTGTGTTTTGATCTTCCCTGTCACCATAATAATTCTCAATAGTCAATGTTTGTTTTTGCTTCTTGCTCATCTTGTTTGCCTATTTCCTAGCTTTTAAAGTTGAGCTCTCCTGCTGGAGCACAGGGACACTGTCCCAAGCTTCTTATGCTGGAGACCAGGGGTTTGGTCACTCGCTTTTGGGGCTGAGACCTCATGTGCTGGCAGCTAGAGGCTGCAGGGGTCTGCCAGCTTACCAGGTGATGAGCTGGGGTCCTAGTGGTGGTGTCTGATGCATGCTGAGGCCAGCTATGGTTCTTATGCATTTCCCTAGAGCTACACTGAAGTACATGGTGGTTGACTGCTCAAAGACACCTGCTTGCCTGGGGCTGCACGGAAGCACAGGAGGTTAGGCTCCTGGATGATACCTCCACTCCTGGAGCTGTGCTCAGGCACAGGGTTTTCAGCTGCTGGAAGAAGCCTTCCTGTCCAGGGCTGCACCAATGCAGATGGTGCTTCTCTGAGCTGGAGTCTGCCAAATATGCTAAGACATGTGGGGAGGGGGGGTCCTGGTGTTGGTGTTTTTCTGTTACACCACCCTGGGGCTCAGGATCTCTCACTGGTTTGCTGAGGTGGGGCTTGCTGCTGGCTTACTGGGACACTTGCTGTCTTGGACTGTGCCCCCCTTTTTACCCAAGTGAAACTGACTTTTCTTGGTGATCTTCCAGGTTTCCCAGGCTAAAAGATTGTTTCTCCCCATCTTTTTGCTGTCTCTGTTGTTCCAGGATTTTTCCTGGGGCACTATTTTCTGTGGTTTTTAGAGGTCAATAAGGGAGAGTGAGGGGATTTACTGCTTACTCCACCATCTTGGCTCCTGGAAGTCAAGAAGTCTCTCTGTTTCTTTCTCTTAGTTTTTATGGGGGCAATGGAAATTGCGGTGCCCACTCCTCCAAAAAAAAAGAAGGCCATTGAAAGATTTCTTTGCACCGATAACAACAGAATGAAGTTTAAAAGGGAATACAAACAAGCCAGACAGTTTTGAATGTAAGGTGCAGGATTTATTATATACTTTTATATATATATATATATATATATATATATATAAATCAAGTAGTTGTAAATCAAGTAGTTGTAAATCAAGTAGTATGAAACAAAGATTTGTGGTTTCGAAAAGAATCTTTTTGGTTTTTTTTCTTTATGTATAGAAAATATTTTGGTGATTAAGTTTAGAGTAAAAATAAAAAGAAATATGGGATCAGGTCAATTCTGAGAAGAAGCTAGTAAAATGCTTTACTAATAATTCATGTACCACCTTCTAAACCAATAATTATAAATCTTAACCAGGCCCCAACCATTCTTTCTCCCAGTTTTGCTGAGAAGCTAGAGTTTTAGACATCTCCCTTGGCATAACTATTCTGTGACTCATTATAGTAATGGTGTGTAGTCCTTCTTTGCTTAATCCAGCTTGCATTTTTGATATTTTGGACTCCTTGCAATCATACAGACATCTAAAAATTTTCTATATCATTTTTCTTTGAAGTTCTATATCTCCTGCTTCTTAAACCTCTATATTAAAATGTTGATTGATGTTGAATTTTTATTTTGTTCTTTGTACTGCTTTGACTTCTTGCAATATCTTAACCTTTTAACTTTTACATTCAGTTGAATTAAATCTGTAATGAAATCTAGAATTTCATACATACATGTACTTTCCAGATTCCATTTCTGCATGTTTCTTTTTTCTAGTCAATAAGCACTTATTAAATATTTATTATGTGTCAGGCATTGTGCTAAATGTTGGGGGTACAAAGAAAGAAAAAAGAATCCCTACCCTCAAGAAGCTCACATTTTCTAATGAGAAAGACAACATAAAAATAATTGATTATAGGGGCAGCTAGGTGGTGCCATGGATAACCTCTGGCCTTGGAGTCTAGAGGACTTGAATTTAAATCCAGCCTCAGACACATGACACTTAACAGCTGTGTGACTCTGGGCAAGTCACTTAACCCTACTTGCCTCATCAAAAGGCAAAAATAAAAAATAACTAATTATATACAAGATATGTAGAGAGCTACTGGCAGGTAGGAGAAGGGACTAACAGTTATGGAGACCAGGAGAGGCCTCCTATAAAAGGCAAGATATGTATTGATTCTTGAAGGAAGCTAGAGAAAAATAAGAGCCAGAAGTGAGAATAGAGAGCATTCCAGGTGTAAGGGGGCAGTCAATGCAAAAGCATGGAGATAGGATATAGAATTTTGTAATATAAGGCAATGTAAGTAGGCCAGTGAAGCTGAATAATAGAGTGTGTAGAAAGCAGCAAAATATAAGAAGACTGGAAAGGTAGGAAGGATCCAAGTTATAAAGAGTTTTAAATGACAATATTTGATTGTGGAGGTAATAAAGAGCTGTCAGAGTTTATTAAGTAAAGAGTGATATGGACAGGCATATTCTTAAGTAAAATCATGTTGGAAGCTAAATGGAAGAAGAATTTAGGAGAGATATGGAGACAAATTAGAAGGCTATTACAATGGTCCAGGAGATAGGTGATAAGAGCCTGAACCAGGATGATGGCTGTTTAAGTGGGAAGCGGAAATATATTAGACATGTTGTGAAGGGACAAAGAATAAGATTGGGCAACAGATTGAATATGTGAGGTAAGAGCTAGGCACTAAGGATAACACTGAAGTTAAGAGTTTAGGTAACTAGGAAGAAGGTATACCCTTCATGATAAGAAGGACATTTGACAAAGAGAAGGATTTAGGGTAAAGATAAAGATTTTTGTGTTGGACATGTTGAGTCTGAGATTCCTAAGGGACATACAATTTGAGATGCCCAAAAGGCAGTTGGTGATGTGGGATTGAAACTGAGGAGAAATACTGGGGTTGGATATCTAAAGCTAGGCATTATCTTTGGAGAAATTATAATTGAACCCATGGGATCTGATGAGATCACCAAATGAAATAATATAGAGTTAAAAGAGCAAAGATCCCAAACAAATCTTTAAAGGATATTGCAACTAGTGAGTGTGGCTTGGATAAAAAACTAGAGGAAGAAATTGAGAAGGATCAGTCAGACAAATAGGGTGAGAGCCAAGAGAGAACAGTGTCATGAGGTCTTAGTGGAGAGGTAATCAATAGTGTCACATGCTGTAAAGAGAACAAAAAAGATAAAGATTGAAAAAAGCCCATTGGACTTAGTGATTAATAGCACATTAGTAAATTTGAAAAGAATTTTTTTCAGTTGATTGACCAGGTCAGCAACCATATTACAGAGGGTTGATAAGAGAATAAGAAGAGTGGAATGAATGCACATTGTGTAGGTAGATTTCTGAAGTTTAGTTGAGAAAGACAGGAAAGATATTGGATATTGCATAGCTAGGAGGGATGATATTATCAAGCAAAATTGTTTTTGAGGTTGGAGAAGACATGATTGTGTTTGCAAACACTCTAGAGGAGCCTATAAAAAGAGAAAAAGTGGAAAGGGGGAGGAAGGGTAGAGGAGAGGATGGGGAGAGAAGAGGAAGGGAAGAGAAAGGAGGAAAGGAAAGGGGAAGGGAGGGGAGAGGAGAAATGAATAATAGCAGGGATAATCTGTTGGAGAAGATAAGATGGGATGGGATCAAGTTAGGGTTCATGTAGAGAGACTGGTCTTGGCAAAGAAAGGGGCTACTTCATTATCAGAGACTCAAGAGAAGAAGATATTGGAGGGGGAAGTATCAGAGTGATATGAGATGAGAAGAGAAAAGGTCTACAAAATGGTCTTAATTTGGTCATGAATTACAAGGAGCCATCCTTAGCTGAGAGGGGGAAGAGGGGGTCCTGTGGGATGCTTAAGCAGAAATAAGAAAGTTTGATGACATGACCCTGTCTGTTTTGTTGTCTCCTACAGACTAAATCCAACTGATGTGATGAAGGGTTGTTTTTCGAAAATTGTGCTAGACTCATTTGAAGAGCTAGATCCTGAAGAGTTTAAAAGATGTAAATTCTTTCTAAAGGGTGGAAATCACATAACCAGGAAGCAAGACAAAGCTGATCGAACTGAATTAGCTGACTATATGGTAGAAACATTTGGTGCTCTCTCTGCTCTAAACAAGATCATTAAAGTATTCAAGGTCATGAATCTTAATGAAGTTGCTCAGACCCTTCAAGAAGAAAAAGCCAAAGGTAATGGGGTAGTAGGCCCTTGATTCATTTCAGATTGTACTTCTCTTCAAAGTGAGAGGCAGCATAGTCCTGTGGAAAAAAATATTGGACTGAAAGTCAGGAGATCTGTTTCTGAGTCCCATTTCTCTGCTTACTGTGACCTTGATCAAGTCATTTCCCTCTTGTCTACAAGATGTGAGATCGGTGCTTGATGACTCTTCAAGGTCTTTTTTACCTCCAGCACTCTTTGATTCTTTTTTTTTTTTTGGAAGTCTCAGCAGCTGCCAAATCCTCACTAGGAAGGGTCAAGTTCTCACACATGGCCACAAGATGGCAGTAACTACACACAGTAGCCCAGAAGATAGGAGACTCTGAGAATCTGGTACACTTTCCCCAGAACCTAGGAAAATCCAAATATTCCAGAGTGCTGGATCTGAATTGGATCTCACTTAGTCTAGCTTCCTCAGTTTTTGGATGAACAAACAGGACTGTATGTAGGAAATGACCTGCTTAAAGTCACAGTGAAAGTAAGTAACAGCGGTCGACTCAAAGCCAGGTCTTTTGACTCATTCCACAACACTGTACTGGCAAAGAAAAAATTGGCAAGCTTAGGCAGGAGTCACTTAGGAATGAAAGAAAAAGCTGATGCAATCTTTATTCTGAATAAGACCATCACCTGACTCTCCTTTTCTTGCTGTTCTCAAGTTACATGAAGCCCTCAAATAGTCCTGGGCTGTATCAAACTCAGAAAACAACACACATTAAGTCCCTTGTAGTCTCATAATGATGATGATGATGATATTAACGTGATTTTACATTACATTATAATATATTATGTTGTTACATTATATTACATAATTATACCATAGTATACAATTGTAGATAACATATTATTATATTATGTAATATATCATAAGTAATGTTATGCATCATTACACAGTATCTAATATATTATCATAGCTAGCATTTGTATAGCACTTTAAAGTTGCAAAGTACTTTACATACGTGATCTCATCTGAGCCTCACAACAACTCTGGGAGAGAGTTGCTATTATTATCATCCCCATTTGATAGATGAGAAAACTGAAGCTAAGAGAAGTTAAGTGATTTGTAAAGGGTCATACTGATAGGAAGTATAGGGAGCAGGATTTGAACTCAAGTCTTCCTGACTCCAAGTGTAACACATTGTTCCACCTAGCTGCCCTTTCTAGGAGTGTTATTTCTGATCTATGAATTTGGGAAATTATCCATACCAGAAACTGGCTTATGGGTGCAAATTCTGGACAAATGATAGGAGAGCTAGTTCTTAGAATCCAGGTAGCAAAAGGATCTGAAGAGATAGGCTTCAAGGGCCGAGAATTAAAACTCCTACTACTCTAAATGCATCTGACACAAGATGTAGATACAAGTAGGAAATAGGTAATCCAGAGAGTGGTTAGCTAGGCAAAGCCCCTCCCACAGTACCTCCTTGACTAACTGTCATTGTGATCAGCGGTGAGGTATTGCAACAGATAGAGCACTGGACTTGGAACCAGAAAGACCTAAGTTGAAATCCAGCTTCTGATACTTAGTAGCTGTGTGACTTTGGGCAAGTCACTTATTGTGTCTATTGGTTCCAATATTAATGCAGTCACTACTACCCTGTTCTGTTTCTTGTCACCAGAACAAAATTCAGAATATATCTCTATTACAAAATTGAATCTCTATCACCAAATCCTGGGAATGGGAGTTCATGGTTCCCTTTGTCTTGGTCTAAATCCCTGATTCTTCCCTGACATCACTAAACAGATAGTCTGTTTAAACAACCACAGCATGGCATACGGTTCTGGTTACCAAATCTCACAACACAGCAGGACTAGTGCTCACAAAATCACCTGTAGAAGGGACCTTAAAGATTAGGTTTAATTCCATCAATTACCAGAGAAAGAAACTGAGGGTCAGATGAGATGACTTGGTTAATGTCATGGGACTAAAAGCCAGGTCTCCAGACTCAGTACAATTTTCTTTGAATTTTGTTGTTGTTGGTCAGTTGCTTTCAGTTGTTTCTTTGTGACCCTATTTGAGGTTTTCTTGGCAAAGATACAAGAGTGGTTTACCATTTCCTTCTCCAGTTCATTTTACAGATGAGAAATTGAGGCAAACAGGGTTAAGTGACTTGCCCAGGGTCACATAGCTAGTAAGTGTCTGATGTCAGATTTGAACTCAGGTCCTCATGACTCCATGCCTGGTATTCTATCCACTGTAACACTTAGCTGTCCCAACTTTATCATTTTTTTCACTTTTTCTTTGCACTATTATCTTAGGTATAACAGAACTGATAAAGGGAATCTTATGCTTGAAGATAGAATAAAATAAATCTGGATTCCTCAGTCTGGATTGAGGAAGCCTGAGGAAGGATATAGTCAAAGACGATGAAATACGGAAGGGTGTCGATAGGATAAATATATACTTGTTCTCTATATCCTAGCCACTAGACCAGGCTTGGAGTGGAGGTCAAGTCTGAAAGAATTAATTTAAGAACAAATCAATGAATTTTCACTTTTTTATCACAGATAATAAACTTATAAGACTCATTATCTGAATGGGTTTAAGTTAATTAATGGATGACTGATCCCTATTAAGTCATTAAGGAAAATATGGGCTAGTTGTAACATGGGATGAAGAGCTAAAAACAGCCTTACAAGTCATCTAGTTTGGGGCAGCTAGGTGGTGCAGTGGATGGAGCTCCAGTCTTGGAGTCAGAAGGACCTGAGTTCAAATCTGGTCTTACTAGCTATCTGACCTTGGGCAAGTCACTCAACCGCAATTACCTCACTAAAAAAAGGGCAAAAAAAAGTCATCTAGTCAATTCACTTATTTTATGGATGAAAAGAACAACAACAATTTAAAAAAGAAAGAAACCCAGAGAAAAGACATGACTTGCCCAAAATTCCATAGGTAGTAAGTAGCAGAGCCAGGAAAAGAACCCAGACACTTTGACTTCAAATTCAGTGTTCTTTCATAAAATAATTATAGCTAGCATTTACATATTGTCTTAGTAAATCACTTTTCATGTATTGTCTCATTGATGCTCACATCAACCCTGAAAGGTATGAGCTATTATTTCACTATTTTACAGATAAGAAAACTGAGGCTAAAAAGACTTTCCCAAGATTTCACAAGTAAATATCTGAGGCAGGAAGTGAACTCAGATCCTACTGGGTCCAGAGTTCTATCCATTGCACCACCTAGCTATACATGGGAGTATACTGCTAATCTTGTTTTAAGAAAATAAAATAGCCAGCATCATGGAGGAAAACCACAAAACATTATTTGCACTGTCACAGACAAACCCTGGGCTAAATGGACCGTTGATCTTATCTAGGAAGATAATTCTGCTCATCTAGAATCCAAAGACTATCTATCCTTCATTTTTCCCTGAAACACAACTAGTGGGGCCAAACCAACATGATGAAGAAGAGGCAGGCACTCTCCTGGACTCTTCCTAAAACCTCTGCAAACAACTTTAAATAATGCCTCAAAACGAATTCTGAAATGGCAGAACCCACAAGTATAGGGTGAAACAATTTTCCAGCCCAAGACAATTTAGAAGGTCTACAGGAAAGGTCTGTTGTATACAGATGAGAGTAAAGCATGGTTCAGTGTCCTAGCAAAACAGCAGTAGGCCATGGGGGCAATTGAATCAATGACTGCAGTGGTAGTTTCCAGACCTCTCAGCCCACAAATGATAAGGGGATTAGACAATTGGTCAGAAGGAGATTACAGGGGTTCTTTGCTGGCACCAGGGGTAGTACTCTGTTGCATAGATCTATGTCAAAGTCCTGGATCTCGGTCCCAGGGTAAGGAAGAGCACTAGCACACCAGAGCTTGTGACCACAAGAAAGCTGGGACCCTGGTCACAATTCCAGGACAAAAAATAGTGCTTGTGGTAACTCACAGACCAGGAGAGTAGTAAACACACCTCTCCCTAGATCATACAACCTTGGAAGAACCAAAAACTCATAGGTCCCCAGAATTATCTCTGAAAACAGCTTGCACAAAAAAATCTGAAGCTTGGGACAGTGCCCTCTCCATTCTGGAAGCAGTGTGTAGAGTTAAAAGTCAATAAATAGGCTGGAAAAAATAAGCAAACAGCAGAAAAAGATCACGACTATAGAAATTTACTATGGTGACAGGGAAGATCAAAACACAAACTCAGAAGACAACAAAGTCAAAACTCCTACATTCAAAGCCTCAAAAAAAACATGAATTGGCCTCAGGAAATGGAAGAGTTCAAGAAAGATTTTAAAAATCAAGTAGGAGAGGTAGTGGAAAAATTAGGAAGAGAAATGAGAGTGCTTCAAGAAAGTCATGGGAAAAGAGTCAACAGCTTGGTAAAGGAGGCACAAAAAATACTGAAGAAAATAACACCTTTAAAAATAGAATAGGCCAAATGGTAAAAGAGGCACAAAAATCCAATGAGAAGAAGAATGCCATGAAAAGCAAAATGTAAAACGGGGATATTAACTCCCAGGGTTGTTCTGAGGATCAAATGAGAATATCTGTAAAGCACTTAGCACAGTATCTATCTATATAACTGCTAGCAATTATTATTATGAGTTCCAGCTCACCTAATTTTCCTGAATGGGAGGCAGCTGTGTTAAGACTTGCAGCACACTTGGGTATAAGTAGTCAAAAACATGGGCAGGAATTTCTGAAGGCTAGACTACAAAGCTACCACATCAATTGTATATTGACATGGCATGTTGTAAAGGTGAGTCTATATTTGAAGGTCAGGGCACATGGGGGAGCTAAATGGCATAGTGGATGGAGTACTTTCCATGAGGTCAGAAAGATCTGAGTTCAAATCTACTTCTGACATTTATTGGCTCTCCGACCTTGCATAAGTCACTAGACATACCTCAGCCTATTTCACTATATGTAAAATAGAGGTAATGGCATCAATCTCATTGGATTATTGTGAGGATCAAATGAGATTATACATGTAAAGTGCTTTGAAAATCTTGAAGCATTGTCAATGTTAGTTACTTATATATAATATATGCATATACATATATATATATACATATATATGACAGAATAATGTAATGGAAAGAGCACTGAACTAGTGCATCAGAATACCTGGAACTTGGGGCAACTAGGTGGCACAGTGGATAGAGCACCAGTCCAGGATTCAGGAGGACTTGAGTTCAAATCTGGCCTCAGACACATAATACTTAATAGTTATGTAACCCTAGGCAAGTCACTTAACCCCCATTGCCCAAAAAAAAGAGAATACCTGGAACTCAGCTTTGCTATTTATTCTATACCCTTGAGCAAATAAGGTTGCCTCTTTTAGCCTCAGTATTCTCCTCTGTAAAATGGGAATAATAATATCTTTCTTGCCTAATAGAGTTGTGATAAGAATAAAATGAGATAGTGCCTATAGACCACTCTGTAACTATAAGCACCACAGAAGAAAATTACTTTTGAGAGAATAGGATGTTGAAAATTCCTCACCTGTCCAGGAAGGACTTTTTTCAGTGAACCTATCATTTTCCTTGTTCTCAAACCAGTTGAGAAGAAATACAATAAGAAAAAAGAGAAGAAACCAGTGACAAGAAACAATCAGGCTCAAATGAGAAGATCAGCTTCTAATGGCAACAACACTGGTAACCCTCAGCTGACCAAGAAAGATAACCTGAAACCCACCAATGAGTCAAAGAAGAATCATGTTGCTAAGGTAGGTAGGAGCCAGACCATAAGGCGATCTTCAGTCAGTAGACAAGACAGTTGTCTCTGCTGTGATTCTCCTATCACTGTCCATACTAAGGTCTTTTCTTCAGTAACCTCTCAATATACAAATGAAAGGTAGTAGGAGGATTGAGAGACAGGGATATTGGGATGGGGAGGTAGAGATGATTAGGTATTATAGAAATAACCAACTATATCACTCATCAATTCCAAAGCTCCTTCTCTTCACTAATGATAACAATTCCTATACTGAAACCCCCTGAAGTCAGAGAGATGGACCATGTGACTTCTTAAACTGATGATCTGTGGGAAATCATTTTGTAGCCTCTTGGGGATCTCCCTTTCCTCAATTACTATAATCGGACTGTTCAGCCTCTAAGATCTCTTCCAAGTCTAAGTCTATGATCTTAAGATCTTCACTCTGCAACCACAACAAACTTTTTTTCCAGAAACGAAAAGCAACAACTGAAGAGAAGCAAGAAAGTAAGAAAATGAAGACATCCCAGGAATCCTTTCAGGTATAATAAATATTGGGAAGTGAACTACTGGTTAAAGTAAAGATTTTTGATTTAAAAAATTATATGGATTTTTGGACCAGGGTGTGTGTATGTGTGTTTGTGTGTGTGTGTATACATATACATACACACATAAATACATGTATACATATATGTATGTATGCATGTATATATACATACACATATATACATATATGTATGCGTGTATACATACACACATATAAAACATATATATAATATGTAACATAAAATATAACATAATGCCTTGACCACTTAAGAAGTATCTGTTGAATTTAATTGAATTGAGGAGGAAAAGAGAAAATTTTCTAGAGAACAATATAAATATATAGGGGACTCACTGATCAACAGAGATTTTTTTTCAATTTTTTTTTCAAATGTATGAATGAATAAAGCAAGTAATAGAAGCAAGTTACAAAAGCATAGCCCAGTACTATGAAAATAGAGTTTGGAATACTAAAACTTAGAATGAATTAAAACTTAGGAAGAATCCTAAGGATAAGAAAAAGGAGTGGCTTTGTGATTTTTTAGAAATGTTGGGGGAAAGAGGAGGTTCATAAAAAAGACATAACTGCTACTTTGGGCAGATGAGAGGATGATAACTGACAAAGGAGAAAAGACTGAACTATTAAATTCTTACTTTACCCTTTTTCTCTGCCAAGGAAAATAATTACAGAATAATAGAATTTTAGAGTTGAAAAATGCCTTAACAACCATCAGATCCAACCTCAACCTGAAAAGCAATCCCAACTCCAATATACCCAAGACAATTAATTATCCTTCCAGCCTTTGCTTAAGGACTTCCATTGAGGGAAAGACCTGCTAAATTTAAGGATACAGTCTTGGCACTGGGAAGTTTAGAACTGAAATGACTAACAGGGAGATGAAAATCAAAATAAGCCAGCAAATAGTTTCCCTTGAGGAGATCAACTTACCAGGCACAGAAGAACTGTGTATTCAGGCTACTGAATGAACTGCTAGATATGATTACCAAGCTATTGTCAGTAGAACTGGAGAGGTACAAGAGTAGAAGAGGGAAATGCCCTAAGTTCTTAAGAAGAGAAACAGTAGAGTCTGCAAACTAGAGGCCAGGAAGCTTGACTTTGATTCTATTTATAAAATGACAGTCTTGTTGATGCTCTTATAGCTTTTTTTTTAATGCCACTCTCTCTTTCCACTGACATTTTCCCCTTCCATCAAAACAGAGCCCTACCTTATAAGAGATAAATATGGTCTAGCAAAACAAAACAACACATTGGTCATATGTGTGTGTTGATGGTAAGAAGGCTTGCTTCCCTGACAATGGTAGTGTTGAGGTAAGATTTGAAAGAGTGGTTTGAGTGTGAAAGAATTCACGTGGGCATTCTCTTTAAGCCATGGGGAGCCATATTAATGTGAAAGCACACAGACCTTTAATGTAGTCATAGAGCTGAATGAAAGGTAGTGCTATTTGGGAGGGACTAGACGTATATAGATAGAAAGCTATACAGCTTGTAGATGTTCAGGATGATGTAGTTTTAGGGTGTTATGGTGATTAAAGATTAAGGATAGAATAGGGAGGACACAGGATAAAGATTAAGGACAAGGGGAACACAGGATAAGGGAGACAAAAACAATTATTTTGGTACAAGTTAAGGAGAAGTTTTATGGTATTTCAAGATAAGGGGAGAAGGATGCTCTCAAGTTACAGAAGCTACAAAATGAGCCTCCCACCCACCCACCCAGCCCTTGCCTCCAGGAAGGGCCTCACAAAGTACTGGAAAAGCAACCCTTACTATATTCTTTTTAACCCCTAGGGTTACCCCTGGGGTACCATTTGCTGTTTACATATCAGTAGGAATGTTTTGGTGGACATGATTCATTGAGAGATCAGTGATTTCCAAGACCCTAAGACCTGAGGGCTCAGCCTTCTCTAAGCACAGTACTCCAAAGATTGTATATAATTTTTTGTCCATTCTTCTCTATTTCAAGATATATCGCCCCATTATATTGGGGCATTATATTGGACCTAGAGTCAAGAAAGACCTGAGTTGAAATCTAGCCTCAGACACTTACTAGTTATGTGATTCTGGGCAAGTCACTTAAACTGTTTGCCTCAGTTTCCTCAACTATAAAAATGGGGATGATAATGACACCTACCACCCAGAATTGTTGTGAGGATAAAATGAGATATTTGTAAAGGGCTTAGCACAGTGCCTGGGACATAATAGACACTTAATAAATATTTGTTCCCTCCCCCAGCCCAGTCCCCTAAGTTCATTTTAACTTCACAGAATCCCAAGATGTTCAGAGTTGGAGGGGATCTTACAGGCCATCTAGCCCAATCTACACCTCAAGTCTTCAGACCTGGGTTCAAATTCTGGCTCTGCCATTTGTTACCTGTGAGATCTTGGGCAAGTCATGTAGATGGACCTCAAGTTTATTATTTATAAATGGGGGATTGATCTAAATGACCTAAATCTGTGATCCTGTGCCTGTGGATATACAAATTTTGTTTAAATCCCCCTAATGAGAGGGAAATCATGTGGGACAGCTGGTTCGACATAGTGATAGCTTTTATTCTTAGGAATTTTTTGCCTTCATTTCTCTCTTCTCCATAAGAACAGCATGGAAGATTTTGTTCAATGCTTTACTAAAATTGCATTACCCTACTAAGGGAATGATAAAAAGTTAATACCAAATTAGCAGAAATAAAACAGTATGAAGGGTTGGAGACAATTTAATTCAATTCAATAGATATTAATTAAGAACTTATTATATGTAAGGCACTATACTAAGTTCTAGGGATACAAATAAGAAAAAGAAAGACAAATCCTACCCTCAAGGAATTTACCATCTAATAAAGGAAAGCAACACACAGAAGGAAGATAGAAGGTGGGGAAAACCAAGGAAGTCTGGTCTCCAGCCTTCTTGTTCATAGGAGTTCAAAACAAACTGAGCTGGAGATTTAGCTGGAGAGTTCAAGTCTAGTCTTCTATAAAGGAAAGCTTTGGGAGTTTAGTACTTCACCCTCTAGCCCTCCACAAAGGACTTGTTCTTATAAAATGATCAATGAGTGAAGGAATCAGGTCAGCAAACTATCTAGAGGACAAGAGATCTATTTCAGGTCTAGGTCAAAACAGATTGTCAGTTACCACCAGAGGAAAAGGCAGATCAAAGGCAAAGTTCAAGAGAAGAGTCTAGTGTCTTTTACGCTAAAGAATGAGCCAGAGTTGCTCCTACCTCCCCATTCTATTTGATGGCCTGCTTCTGTAGAGGGTGCAAGCTTACCTCTATTCTTCTGAAAGGGAAACAACTGTCTTAGGGCCCAAGTTAGAGATATGTGAAATGGTTGTACCTATGGAAGCCTCAGTCTTTCTTTGGCACAAGAGGGTGGAAAATACTGTCATCCTTCTATCTGGCCTTCTGCTTTGCTTGTAAGACTGTTCAAAAGTCTGAAGAGGGAAGGGGATCCAATCCTAATCTTCTGTAACAGTGGTCTCAATACACAATGTCCTAGGGAGGGCTCTGATTACAGAAATAATGGAAAAGGCAGATTTACATATGTCATATTTTCTGCATAGGTATTTCTGTTCTTTGACATTTTCTTGTAAGCTCTTTAAAGGCAGGTAGATATTTCCGTTTTTGATGAGTTCCTCATAGTAGATAAGGTAATCTTATGACCCTCTAAGTGTCAGTGGTCAACCACACAACAGGAGTTTGTTTTGTCCATAGTACACATTATTGTGAACATCCACTAATGTACCACACCAATGCCTCAAAACAATATAATGAACATAAAGCCCTTTAAAAATCTTAAAGAACTGCATAAATAATGACAGACTTTTATATAACAATTTAAAGTTCATGTGACTTACTTCATCTCAATAAATCTTCATAACTCCATAGGGGAGATTTTAAATATATTATTACTCCATTTTACAGATAAGGAAACTGAGGCTCAGAAGGTTAAGTTACTTACCTGCGGCCATACAGCTAGGAAAGAATGGGATTTGAACATAAGTCCTTCTGATACCAAATCCATTATTCTATTCACCTTCAATATCAGTTCAATGGGATGTGGAACTTCTCACAGGCTATATCAGTGGATACCAAATGGGCCAGCAAAGGACTCTATGTCTGTTATCCAAGGAACAGCCTATTCAACTCAGAAAGGCTCATTACCAGGTGATAACTTTTTTCTGCCATAGTACTTTTCTAAGACCATCCACTGAGACACAGAAATTGGGTCTGTGTTAGCAAAGAGAATACTTACCAAAGAAATCACAGATACATAAAGTGTTGAATTAATTCCATCCTACTTGAAAGGGCATGCCATTTGTACTGAGACAGGTTGGAGAAAAACAGACAACCTCAGGTCCTCATGTCACTTCTGTCATTGGCTGATGTCTTGCCTCCATTTTCACGTAGGGGCAAGTCTCATTCAAGGGAAGTATCTGGAATGAGAATGAGTGTAGGAAAACTTTTTTCTGTCCTCCATAATCATAAGAGGATGAAAGAGAGTAGTAAACTATGTAACATGTTCTATCCATATTTTCAAGTGGTTGTAGCATCTACCTGACAGTGATGTCATCTCTATGATGTACAATCTCTCATATTTCACATTATTCTCATTCCAGTTATCTCATGCTCTATAGATGTTGGTTTCTTGGTATTTAACAAAGTGACTGACTCACTCTCTAATCCTACTTGATAGCTCATGTCTTCACTCTGATGTCTTTCACCCTGATCAGAAAACAGAACCAGAAGCTGGAAGAGAAGAGTGTATCCAGACTACATCTATGGTAGTGAAGGTGCTCAAAGTGACCCAGACATTTGAGTATTATACCCTTGAAGAGCAGAAGCAGATGTTTTATGCTACTGTGGCAAATGAGCATGAATTTATCAGAGTGAAGGTTTTCAACATGAGTGTCAAGGAGCACTTCAACAAAAATAAGGTCATTGAGATATCAAAAGGTTATTGGAAAAAAGGTTTCCTGGAAGTAAACAAATGCTCCAAGGTGCAAGATGTGTGTACTAATAAAGAGATCATAGTCCCCAAAAACATCAAAAGAAGAGCAGGTAAAACCACAAAAATCCAAATGCTTCAAAAACAAAAACAAGGAAGCTATGTGGATGGTGTTTATGAGATCAATAAGGTAAGTTCACACTGCTTTATAGAGAGGGGGGAAATCATTTTTCTAAAAACTTGAAATCAAAATACATGACTCCTAAACAAAGCATTGCCAACTGGGTAAACTTTGGGTAAGGTCATGGTGCCCCCAACCTAGATACACATAGAGCATGGATTGGGTATACCAACACACTCAGCCTATATTCTATGTCCATGTATGGCCCCAGTACCAGAAAACCTTGAAGGACAGATTAGTGATCTGCTTAAGATGATTTAGGATCAAAGGTCTAGATTAATCAATCAATAAATCAGCAAGTATTTATTGAATGCCTGCTATGTACCAGGTACTGTGCTGGGTGCTGGGATACAATCCTTTTTTGTTTTCTTCACCAGGAGCTTACACTGAGGTAGACAATGTATCTGGAATAAATTTGAAAAGAATAAACACCAAAAAAATTACAAAGTAGATAAAATGCAAGGTAGTTTGCAATGCAAGGGAGGACACTAGCAGTTCAGGGAATTAAGAAAGGTTTCCTATAGAAGGTAGTACTTGAGTTGTGTTTTATAAGGCAGAAATGAGAAGGGAATTCATTCTTGATGTGGTGAATAGTCAGCAGAAATGCAGGTAGGAGGGACAGGGAGCATTATATGTAAGTAGAACAGAAAGAATTGGCTAGATTGTATAGAGGGATTAGCAAGACAAACATTCAGCATCTCTCCTATCCCAAGGAATTTCTTTACAAATTATTACAAAAGAGATACATTGGGAAACCTCATCATTTTGTGATCTGAAGAGAACCACTCCCACCCATTGTGATCTAGCTGACAAAGGAGTAAATACACTCAACTTTCATTCACTAAGCTCACACATTTTTGATGATTTTTACATCTGTGTGCCCAGCCCCATCTATATCAAATGACTTTTTTATTTCATTTTGAATAGTGGTCTCTAAGGCAATATCTCTTGGTGTGTACTAGCTATAAAAGCTAGGACAGGAAACAGATAAAAAGACTCTTTCCCAGAATCAGACTAGATTCAATAATTAGCTGGGCAAGTCATCAATGGTTCTAGGACTATTTAAAGTTGCTACCTCCTTGGACTTAATTAGTAGAAGACCTTTTAATTGGCTAGGAACCAGATAAATTTTTAACTGAAAAGGACCTTAGAAATTATGTAATCCAAGCCTTGCATCTTACACAATAAATACAGAAATGGAAGCATAAAAAGTATGCAACATTCTCAAAATCACATGGCTAATTACTGGGTTGGTTGGTCTTCACACCCAAGAGTCCATCTCTTACACACTGCTACAATCTCCAACAAATTCCAAGTGTCACAGAATCATAGAATCTTAAAGTTAGAAGGGACTTCAAAGAGTATCTAGTACCCCCTTACCTAAAACACTTCCTTCTCAACTACTTGTCTTCTGATTAAAAACCTCTAGTGAGGTTACTTACTACTTCTTATCACTACTTATAGGGCCATCCTGTCTCATTTTTGAAGTGTTTTAATTTTAAAGCTTTTCATTAAATACTGGTAGGCAATAAAGAAAAGTACTGCCTCCCCAATATACTTACCCATACTCAATTTGTGTTTTTCTTCTGGGATATAGACAGCATGCTAGTTTTGTGTGTAAAATAACTGTGCTCTTATAGTTAGTGTTAAGTACTGATGGTTGATGGGTTAAGCAAGCAACTAGAGTTATTATATTGAAAAGCACATGGCTCAGACAAATAAGACTTCAAAGAAATTCCAATATAGGAAGAGGAAGAAAGGGCAAAGAATTAAGAATTGGGGGGGGGAGTGAGTTAATGGGCAATCTAGAAGTATTTTGTATTTTGCATTATGGTTATCTGTGTATACGTTGCAGCCCCCTACTAGACTATAAGCTCCTTCTTCCACTTTAGCACAGTTACCTACAACTACTATTACTAACAATAAATTAACATTTATATAGTGCTTTAAGGCAATGGTGTCAAACTCAAATAGAAACAGGAGTTGCTAAACTATGCATAAGGATCCCTGCAGCCGTATACTAACTTGGAAAACCATGTATTAACATTAGCTATATTCTATTGTATTTTTTTTCATTTTGTTAAATATTTCCCAATGACATTTATTCTGGTTCAGGCTGCACAGAAAGTGCTGTGTGCCCGCGTGTATGACACCTCTGCTTTAAAAGATTACAAAATACTTTACAGCCTCTCTCCCAATCTCCGGTCTCATATCTTAACTGCCTACTGGACATCTCAAAGTGGATGTCCTATAGACATCTTAAAAATCAACATGTCCAAAACTGAACTCATTATTTCCCCTCTTCCTGATTTTCCTATCATTACCACCATCTTCATTTTCCATATCCAATCTGTTGCCAAATCCTGTCAATTCTACCTTTACTATATTTCTCCCTACCATCCCCCCTTTCTCTCCTCTGCCACTGCCACTACTGCTAGCCTGGCCCAGACCCTCATCCCCTCCTCTTGGAGTTTTAAAAGAGCCTGCTGGTTGGTCTTCCTGTCTCAAGCCTATCTGCACTCTAGTGTCAGACTGAGCTTCCTAAAATGCAAACCTGACCATGTCACTCCTCTCCACTCCCCTCTCCCATTCAATAAATCAAAATAGCTTTCTATCAACTTCAGGATCACATATAAAATCCTGTGTTTGGCATTCAAAGCCTTTATAACCTGGCCCCCTCCTGTCTTTTCAATCTTATTAGAACCCACATACTCTGGGATTTAGTGATACTGAACACTATTTCTCGAACACACCACCATGCTACCTTTTCCTATTCAGGGTATTTTCACTGGCTGCCCCCCAGTGCCTCGAATTCTCTCCTTCCTCATCTTGACCTCCTGGCTATCCTGGCTTCCTTCAAGGTCCAACTAAAGGCCCCCCTTCTTCAAGAAGCCTTTCCTAATCCCCTTTAATGCTAGTGCCATCCCTTTCTTGTTTATCTGCAATTTATCTTGTCTACATCTTGTTTCTTACATAAATGTTTGCATGTTGTCTCCCCTGTTGGACTGTGAGCTCCTTTAGAGCAGGGACTGTTATTTGCCTTTCTTTGTATTCCCAGTGCTTAGCACAATGCCTACCACACAGTGGGTCTTTAATTAATTTGAGTTGACTAACATACATCATTTCATTTGATGCTCATAATAACTTATAACACCTGGGACTATTATCATTTTACAGATGAAGAAACTGTCTCAGAAAGGTTAAATGACTTTACAGGGCATTAAATGTTTATAATTGAATAGTAGGGAGTGATTACTAAGTATTTGTTGGGGAAAAAAAAGACCAGCATAGGTTGCTGAGTCAGAGACTTCTTTAAACTAGACTTAGAATGACATTCTGCCTGACTCAGGATAGGACCTATATTATTTACGATATCATATATTGGGAATCTTTTGACTCAGTGACCAGACTTGGAGAAACATCAGGGAACTGGAGGAAATCCTGGGAAGGCTGACTTCTTAGGTAGCCAGGCGAAAAACAACCTGGGCAGGAAAGGGGCGGGGAGGGCAGTGGTAGGGGGATGAGGGGTGGACTTGACTGATTAAACAGAAGATTTTGGAACGGAGCATCTCTAAAATGTATTTTAAGCTGGAAAAAACTGAATTCTGTATCTACTTTCTGTACCAAAAATTATCAATCTGTATATAGTTTGTACCCTGTCAAGTAAATAGACATTCAACTTCAAGTATCCCCTCCCATCCCTATTCCCCCAGTGCTGTGATATAAAGATGATATTAAGCAGGAGGGAATGTTGATTTTGTTTTGCAGAAAACTGAATCGGAGAAACGTACACTCTTTGAAGTGAAGGACAACACAGGAAAAATTGAAGTGGTAATGTTTGGCAAATGGGCCAAAACAAAGTGTGAGATAGGAGACAAACTTCGACTCATCTGCTTTGAGCTATCTTCTTGGAACGATACACTGCAACTGAAATCTGTAACTCATAGTTACGTCCAGGTAGGAGCTATGCGAGAGGACATTCACTTTCCAACATGCCAAGAAATGTATTTGCTCTGGAAAAAAATTAAATTGGTGTTATTAGGTAATCTATCCAGCAGGTGGTGTCCTGTTCCAAGCAATGCCTCACCACCAGATACTAGGAAATGTCCCACATCCTACTGTAGTTAGACATTTACTGTTGGTGAAATCCTGTCCACACCTTCAAGAGGTAGTAGGCAGTGATGTAATCTCTCTAATCTCTCTCTCTCTCTCTCTCTCTCTCTCTCTCTCTCTCTCTCTCTCTCTCTCTCTCTCTCTCTCTCTCTCTCTCTTTCTGTTTCTCTCAGTCACACACACACACATACACACGCAGAGCTTTTCCTGTATGTCCTTCATCTCTATACTTAACAATGACACTAAGCTATTAACCTAGAGGGATTAAATAGGAACACTAATAAGACACACAGACATCTTAGCCACTCAGGTAAATAATATAGGATCTGAAGTGAGAAAACCTGGGTTCAAATACCAACTGTGCTACTTAATACTTGTTGTGACTTTCAGGCAAGTCATTTGATTTCTCTGGGTTTTGGTTTCCTCATTTATAGAATGGTAATTGGGAGGCATCATATTACAATGGAAAGAACATTGACAATATAGAAAACCTGGGTTTAAATCCTGCCTCTGACCCCTATAATTTATGTAACACCTTGAGATAATCACTCTGACAGGATCTTTTCCAGGGAAGCCTACTTTAACCTCAATCCATGTCATCTATTTCCAGCCTATTTGATCCGGAGACTTCCCCCAAGCCACCACCCACCTCCTGACTTCTGGCTTCTCCAGTGCTCAGGAAGACATTGCAAAACCAGATGTACCTTAAGCTACCAGTTCTTGACTCCTGACCAGACTCCTCAGGCCATTCCTTCTCCTGCTCCTGCCTATTGTGAGGTCACCCTCCTAGGCCTCTCACAGGACAAGAAATCACCACCTGTCCCAAAGTTAGACCTCAAGAGAGGGCATTAAACAATATAATCACCTCCGTCCCTCAACAGAACCCTCTCCAGTTAGTGATACAGTGCCTGGACTCATTCCTCAATGGTTAACATGCCCCCACTCCCTCATATTCTTACCAATTCCAATAAACCTCAGTGGCTCCCTATCACCTCCAAGATCTAACAGAATTTTCTGTTTGGTTTTTAATTCCTCTACAACCTGGGCCCATCCTACCTTTCCAATCTTCTTACATTTTCACCTACAATCCAGAGACATGGACCTTCTTGCTGTTTTTCACATAAGACATTTCATCTCTTGATTCTGTTCCCTTATACTGGCTGTCCTCCATGCCTGGAATATTCTCCCTCTTGGCTTCCTTGGCTTCTTATAAGACTCATCACAAATCCCACTTTCAATAGAAATCTTTTCCCGTTCTCGTCACTCTTTCCCCTCCCCCATACACATATACACACTGCTGTGGCCTCCCTCTGAGATTACTTTCCATTTACACTGTATATGTTAGATACACAGCTTTTTACATGTCACCTTCCCTGTTAGAATACAGTTTTGCCTTTCTTCATTGTCACAATGCCTAGCATTTAATAAGAACTGACTGACTTACAGACCAAAGTTTTTTGGGCCTCCATTTTTTCATCTCCTAAAGTGGGAGAATTAAACAAGATGGCATCTGAGGTTTCTTCTAGCTCTGTATCTTTGATCCATGGGACATTTAAGATCCTTTCCAGCTGTAAATCTATGAGCCTAGGGTGGCTAGACCCACTCCAGTGCTTATGACAAGATGAGTTCCTGTTTGTCTTCCTTTCACCTTTAGTGTTTTAATTAAGAATTCTTCCCTCAAAATCTCAGCATTAGCTGTACCAACTCCCTGTGTTCTCCAGTTAAGTCCCTTTATCCCCTTTAAGGGAACCTCTCTCCATGTGTATCAGTTCTAAATAGCAGAATGCATTATGCCAGGTCTCCAATCAGGGAAGAGTGACCAAAGAGAGTGTAAGATATTCAAACAGGCAATGGAAAGGACAATATAAAGAAAGCACAAGAAGAAAAGAAAGGCCTTAGTACTACCTGTATCTTAAACTATGGATTTAGATTTGGAAGGGACTTTAGAGGTCAACTAGTCCTACTCCATCATTTTACAGATAACGAAATGGAGGTCCAGAGAGGTTAGGGGTTTTGCTGAAGGCCTCTCAGGTACAAAGGAGCAGAGTCAGATTAGAAACTCAATCTTCTGGTTCAAAATCTGTTACTCTTGACACTCACCAGATGGATGGGTTTCTCTTTCTCCTTACAGGTCATCAAGTCTAAGAAAAATTAGAAAGACAGGTCAAGAGAGACCAACTTGCCCCTCTTCTGACAACTGGACCTTTCAGATGGTATCAGATGCTATTGCTGCAAACACCAGAGCTCAGTAAATATTTTTTAATAACATGCTGAGTGTGAAACATGGGGCAGGGCCCCAGTTTGGTCCTACTTCCATTGCTTAATTAGTTGTGTGACCTTGCACAAGTTATATTGCTTTTAATATCAGAGGTTTTTTTAGTTAATTTTTTTTTCAAATGATAAACACTTATTTTCTCTGCCTCCCATTGCCCTCCCTCCCCCACATTGAGAAGGAAAAAAAAGAAAAATAAAATCCTTGTCACAAATATGCAAAGTCAAGCAAAACAAATTTACTCTTTGGCCATGTCCAAAAATGTATGTTTCATTCTGTAACTTGAGTCCATCACCTCTCTGTCAGGAGGTGGGCAGCATCCTTCATCATGAATGTTATGGAATTGTGGTTAGTCATTGCATTGATCAGAGTTATTAAATCTTTCAAAGCTATTGATTATCTCAAATGTTGTTGTTATTGTATAAATAGTTCTCTTAGTTCTTTCCACTTAGTTCTGCATCAGTTCATACAAATCTTTCCAGGTTTCTTGGAAATTGTTCCTTTTGTCATTTATTATAGCACAACTGATATAAGTTCCAAATGGATATATGACAGATATAAAAGATCACATCATGAACAAATTAGAGGAGCAAAGAAGAATTTACCTTTCAAATTTACTAACAGGGGAAACATTTGTGATCAAGCTAGGGAGAAAGAGGATAAGAAGATAAAATGAACAATTCTGATTTCATAAAGTTTTCAAATATCATTTTTTTTCTTATCTAGAATGGGGAGGGTGAAGAGGGAGTCTTCTGCAGGCTAAACACCTGCAGTTTTGTAAACCAATCCTCACACTGCTTGGTGTCCAGTCCTCTCATACATTTGGTCATCCTCTTTTCTAAGATTAATAATAATAATAACAGCAAAAACACTTGATATTTATATAGTGCTTTGAGGTTTACAAAGCACTTTACAGACATTATCTCATTTGAGTTGCACAACCACTCAGTGAAGCAGGTACTGTTACAGTATTGCTATCCACCATATTTTATAGGTGAGGAAACAGAGACATATATTGCTAGGTTGTTGTGAGGAAACCTCTTTATTAGTTGTAATGCCGTAGAGATATGTTACCTATAGTGACTCTTATCCCAGTCCCAATAGCTCCTAACCCTTTATGGTCATTCTACAGTTTTCATGTTTCAGGTTCTGCACAGAAGTCCAGCATAGTGCCCTCAGGCAATCCCACTCACTAGATGGCACAAGAAGAGCAGTAGCAATCCATTTGGGAAACCTGCACCAGGCAAAGGACTTAGAATTGTAGATTTAGCACTAAAAAGTACCTCAGAAGCCATCTAATCACTCTACAAATAAGGATCTGCCCAAAGTTGTAGAGTAGCAAAGCAGGCATTTCAGCCTCAGACTAAGTCAATAATGAATTTACTATTTATTAAGTTCCAGGCACTGGGCTAAGAGTTTTATAAATATTTCATTTGATCCTCATACCAGCCTTGGGAGGTAGGTGCTATTATTCTCCCCATTTCATAGTTAAGGAAACTGAGGCAGACAGAAACGAAGTGACTTGCTCAGGGTCACACTAGTATGTGTCCAAGGCTAGATTTGAACTCATGTCTTCCTGACTCCAGGCCCAATGCTCTATCTACTATGACACCTAGGCACCTCATTATCAGGGAGGACAGACAGTAGCAAGATAGTGGGGTCAGGCCTCCTAAAGTGACCTTATTCTGAAAGATTCAGATCCCTGGAATCCTGCTCCAGACCCCAGTATGTGCTTTGCATTCCAGCCACTGTTGGAAATGTATCAATCAATGACTTGAATCTTGGTGGATAGAATTTGGGAATTAATACAGGAGAGAGTTGGGAATTAGGGGCGGAGTTTCAGATGAAACACTTGAAGTGAGAAAATATTAAAACAGTTTGGGTTAGTGGACTCTTTCTATAGTATGAAAAACCTTCAAGGCAACCTAAAAACCATAAATTCTATGTACATAGCACTTTAAGGTTTATAGGGTGCCTTCCTTGTGACAATCTTAAGAAATAAATGACTGATTCCAAGGCCGATGCTTCTCTCCCTGAAGGTTCTTCCAACTCCTCTCAGCTACCACTATTTAAAAAAAAAAAAGTAAAAATAAACCACCCAATGTAATGGGAAGACTGGCACTGTTTTTAGTGGAACATAGTGAAGTGATAACTGATTTTTATCAGCTTTTACAAGGAAATTAATAACATAAGCAAAAGCAGAACTATAAATATTGGGAGTACATTACAAACTGAATTAGGGACACCCAGTAGAGGTGTTTACACCCCACTTTGAGGACCACTGATTGCTTTAAGGTCCACAGAGAGATTTAGTCCCTTTTGAGCACTAGTCCAAAGTGTTTGGCCTGTATTAGACCTCTTTGGTCCTTGTCTTCCCTAACTCAGGCTCTTAAGGACTTCCATTATCCCAGAGCTCATAGAAACTCAGAGTGAGAAGGAAGCAAAGATATCAACTAATCCTATTTGTACCTGAATGGAAATCTCTACTGTGGCATCCCAGGCAAGTAGTTCACCACTTTCCCCTTGAAGACTTCAAGGGAAGAGTTGTTTTTGACAGCAATTTGAGGAAATCCCCCCCCCCTTATATCAAGCTAAAATCAGCCTTTCTGCAGCTTCCACCTATTGCTCCGTCTTCATCTAGGGCCAAGAAGAATAAGTCTGATCCCTCCTTCCCAATGTATCCCTTCAAGTTTTTGAAGACAGTTGTCATGGCCCCTTTAAGTCTTAACTCTCTGTAGTTTTATAAACCAGTCTTCATATTGCATGGTCTCCAGTCCCCTCACTAACTCGGTCACCCTCTTCTTTAAATTCTCTAGTTTATCAATGTCATGAAACCGTGCTGCCCAGAACTGAATGTAAGATGAAATGTTTGGTCAGATCAGGACAAAGTATGACAGGACTACCACCTTCCTTGTTCTGGGCATCATGCCCCTCTTAATGCAGCTTAAAAGCACATTTGATTTTTGGCTACCATCCTCTGTGCTCTGAGTTCCAAGGCCTCTTCCCATCTGTCCTGCCTACCATAAGTACAATACCTATATAAATAACCACAATAAACATGATTGCATGAGAAATGCTTTAGAGAGGTACAAAATAAAGGTTAATACAAGGTCTTAGGTGGGGTGGGGAGGAGGGGAGATAGAGACCATTACTGACTGGGGGATCAAGGCATTTGAATTTGGTCTTGTTTGAATAGATGGATGGTTAAGAATTCCATCCCTCCTAGATTTCTTCATCTGTTTTGCCAAGACCTTCCTCAGATACTCCTCATTCAGAAAGCATTCTAAACCCACACAGGGGACTATGAGGAGGATGGAATATAACCTCTTACGACTCACAAATCATCATTTGGCTATCACTTTTCCCCAGGACATTAACAGATAGATATATAGATTCCATAGATATGCTTTAACATTTCCAAAGTGCTTTCCCACAACCCATTGAGTCAAGAAATGCAGATACTATACCCATTTTATAAAGAAACTGAGGTTATGAGAGTTTAAATGATTTACCCATAATATGCAATGTTACCTAATAAGTGCATTAGAGATGTGTTTGACTCAAACGAAATATTTGTAAAAGGCTTTGCATGGTTCCTGGCACTGAGTAGGGACTATATAAATACTTCTTCCCTTCCTCCCTCTCCCCTTGATTCAGACAATACTTGTACATGTTTGATTCAAGATTTGAACCCAGGGCTCCTTATTCTAAGAGATTCTTTCTGTTATGCCATGCCATGCCATACCACTCTATCATAGGGCAAAATGGAAAATAAGATTGGGAAAATGGAAAATGAGATCGGAAAAACAAGAAATAACAATAAAGCTTGAAATATACATAAGTTGGTATAGATATTTACATGTGGGATCTATGGACTATAATAGTTTATTGTGTCATCTAAATGAGAAGAGAGCCTACCCTGTATACACCTTTTCATCCATTGTCACTAGAACTTAGCAAACATTAAATAGTTAAAAATGACTCACTGAAAGTTAATCAGATGTGGAGACAGGAGGTAAGATATGTGGAGGGAATCATATGGACAGCCCACATTCCCAAACCACTTAAGAGTTTTTAAAGCACCTTCTTTACAAGAGCCCTTTAAACAAGATACCATAAGTAGTGTCTCCATTTGACAGATGAGAAAACTGAGGTTAGTCAATCAGCCAGTCATTGCCTGCCTACTATATGTAAGGCACTATGCTGAGAGCTGGGGATACAAATCCCAAAAGAAAAACAGTCCCTGCCCTCAAGAAGCTTACAATCTAATGAAGATGAAAAGTTGTGGTGGAGAGGAAGATCCTCAGCACCCAGTAAATGATGAAGAAGTCCAAAGAGGTGCAGCCAGATGGGGAATAGAGAAACGGCTAGCCTTAAATGAAGGTTGTGGGAGGAGCTCTCTTTTCTAGTCTCCAATCAGAGGGGCCCTAGCCATGGAGGTATGACTTGCTAAGAGCATAAACTGTCAGGGTTAAAATGTATTCTTTTAGTTACCTGTCTTTCTTTTTACTCCTCTTACTGCCTCCCTGAAGAAAATAACTCATTTATATAACACTTTTAGATTTACAAAACACTTTCTGTACAGCAATCCTAAGATGTACATAATACAAGTATAATTATCTCTATTTATAAATGAGGAAATTGAGGCTCAGAGAGCTTAAATGACTTGTCTATAATCACATAGCAAGTAGTAGGTATCAAAGCTAGGATTCAAGCTCAAGTCTCCTAACTCCAATTCAGTATTCTTGCCATTATACCATTCTGTGATAAGTATGATCATGAAACAGGACTAAACATGCAAAGGGAGATTAAGGTCAAGAAGTATAGTCTTTTTTTTTTGAAGGCATTTGGGGTTAAGTGACTTGCCCAAGGTCACATAGCTAGTGTCGAGTGTCTGAGGCTGAATTTGAACTCAGGTTCTCCTGACTCCCGGCCAGTGTTCTATCCACTGCACCACCTACCTGCCCCAAGAAGTATAGTCTTAAAGGGGTGATACAGAGTCCCAGGACTGAAAATGAAAAGGGGAGCCTCATTTTGTCTCTCAGTTGTTTCAGTTATGTCCAACTCTTTGTGATGCCATTTGGAGTTTTCTTGGTGAAGATATTGGAGTGGTTTGCCATTTCCTTCTCCAGCCCATTTTACAGATGAGGAAACTGAACCAAACAGAGTTAAGTGAC